ACTGCTAATGACAAAATTTATGAAACCTGTTTTAAACCTCCTTCCACTCACTCCATTCAATACTTTCTCCTTCCTTTTTGCCTTCTTTGCTCTCCCTTTCCTCCCCACCTCTCAGTTTACCTCTCTTCTTTTTTCAGAGTTTTGGTGCCCTGGTGTTTCTTTTTCTCTGGAAGCTGGTTTCCACGTTTTGAACAAGGCAATGGGAGGTGGGTAGGATGAGGCCAGATAGTGAGCCACATGTTGGTCTTTTTTCATTCTTTTTTAAAACTTTTATTATTAGTTTTATACACAATTAATACATGTTCATTGTAGAAAAATTAGAAAACACAGAAAAGAAAAAAGAAAAAAATAATCACCCATAATCCCACTGCCCAGATAACTACTATTAACATTTGATAGTGTGTGTCCATCTAGCTTTCTTATGCATATATATACATACATAGATAATTATATATATAATTTTCTTTTTTTTACAAATATTGTATCATACTATACATACTGTTTTATAACATGTGTTCTTCATTTAATATATATTGTGAACATTGTTGTTTATTCCCTGAAAAATAATACAGATTCTACATGCTGATTGTGGAAAAATTAGAAATTACAGATACGCAAAAAAACATAATTGCTCCAAATCTTACTTCCCAGAGATAAATGCTGTTAACATTTTGGCAAGTATTCTATTATACTCTTTAATGCACACATGTATTCATATATTTTTAAATGAGTTCATACTATAGATATTCCTCTGTAACTTGTTTTTATTAATTTAACAGTATAGCTTGTACATTTCAATATAATATGGTGATTATTCTTAATTGGTGCAAAGTATTCCATTGTTGCAAGGATGTACCACATTTAACCAAACTTATAATGCTGGCTTATTATATTTTTTTTCCACTTCTCCAAATAATACTGATATAAACATTCTTTCAGGCTTATATTTCTTGATTAAATGAACAAATGCATCTTGGTTTACTTTTCCTGACCTTTTTTGAATTTTCCTTAAAGTGGAATTACTGTGTGTTATGGACTGAATTGTGTCCCTCCAAAATCTGTTGTAAATCCTAATTTATATGCTTATGGTTATAAACCCACTTGTGAATGGATTCTTTTTGCTATGCTAATGATAGAGGAATAGTGTAGAGTGCGTCTTGAGTCACTCTCTTTGAGAGATTAAAGGCAAGCTAGCAAGCAGAGATGGGAGAAGAGAGATGCCAAGCCACATGAAGATGACCAGGAGCAGAAACAGAAGGAAGGCTCTTCCTCTAGTGCTGAGAAAGGAAGCTTTTCCTTAGAGCTGGTACCCTCATTGCAGACTTCTAGCTTCCTAAACTGTGAGAAAATAAATTTGTTTATTGAAACCATCCACTTGTGGTATTTCTGATATAGCAGCACTGGATAACTAAGACACTGTGCATGCATATTATTAAGGCTTTTAAAAAGTTTATTGCCAAAATATTTTCTGGAAAGATATCAATTTATACTATTGCTGACTCTTTAAGAGAATGTTTATTTTCATACTCCCTTTTCATTCCTAGGGATTTAATTCTTTATACTACTAGCCTGTCTGATATGTTAAAAAGAAAAAGAATATGTCATATGAATTGATATTTTATTACTAGATTATTCAAATTATTTTTAATATTAGAGCATTTAAAACATTTTAAATTCAATTGAAACTGGCCTTGCCAGTTTGTAACCTGGGCTTAATTTTCTATTAGAAAGTTTGATGCTTTTTTAATTACACCATTTATTCATGCATTCATTACTCACTCAATCAATACGTACATTTTCAGCATTTCAATTCCACTGTGTTAGGTGTTGGGGATATGACAGTTGGAAAAATAACCATAGCTTCAGTCTTCTTTTTTTAGTTTAGTGGGAAAAAACCCCCAAACAAATAAGAAATAATGAAACAAGTACAGCAAAGGAGAGGATAGGATGAAATGGGAACATTTGACTATGGAGGACAAGGTGTAGGTAAAATACACTTACCAAACACAGTGCTGCTTTAGTTCTTAATGCATATTGAAGATCTATACTCTTTATGTATACATTACAGATATTATTTTCTCTTAATTCAGTTTAGTGTTTTACACTCTATATAAAATTTGCATGTAAATTGGTGAAATCCACCCATCTTTCCTTTGTGGTTTCTCGCTTTGGTGTCATGCTGAGAAAGGATTTTACCATATTAAAATTACTTATTCATCCATATTGCCTGATGGTTATTTTACATGCTTTATGTGTGTTAGCGTTTGAATTTTACTTTAACTTGAATTTATTTTGATGAGAGTTCCTCAAGTGGCTAACCATTTATTCCAATAAAATACACTTAATAATCAAATCTTTTCTGATAGATTTGAAATATCTTTATAATGTACTCAATTCTTTTATATTATTTCTTTGGCCTACTTCTGAACTTTATTTTTAATTCTAATGGTTTGTTTTGAAATCAACAGCATATTTCTCCTTTTCTCATCCTAGATATGTTACCTGAAAGTTGATCATTTTGCATTTGGTGTATTCTAAAGCACAAAGAAATGATAGACATTGCTTAAGTAGGTGTGTATGGGTAGAAATCACACTGGCTGACACCCTTAATCCTTTCAACCTTGGGACCATTCAAAGTCTGAAATTTCAGATGGGATCAGTGTTAATCTGTCCCATTCATTTGTTGTTAGAGAAATTTCTATATCTTTTGACAAGTTTTATTTTTTTCTTCTAAATAGTTCAGTTCTCAGTAGGTGGCAGTATTGTCATGCAATGAGTATCTCAACTGTTACAGGGCCAGGAAGGGACAAAATGGTCTGGCAGAATTTTAGACTTTGCCCAAGAGCTTCAATTCCCCATGTGAAGCATCTGAGCTGTGTTGTTTCTAGAGCTGTTCCTATCCTTGAACACTGGCACCACCAGAAGTTTGCCATGTGTGTGTTCCTAGATGCATGCAGTGGACAGATTTTATTTTGCTTTGCTTTTTATAGTGGTATCTTGGCATACTTTATCCAAAAAATGCTTTAGGGCCCAGATACTGACTGATTTAAAGCCTGAAAATATGATTTTTAAATCAATATGGTGGTGGGATTCAGATGGTTTCTGTTTTCTTTATTGTTGGTGGAATGTTTTTTCCCACAAAGAAAATATATTGCCTTTTTAATCTTAACACCAAGAGATGGTATAATATGATCGTTAAATGAGTATGTGCCAAAAAATGCTTGTATTCTTTTCTGTGTCAAGAATTTGGGTTTATGCAATGAAATAGCAATGATCCTGCCATCTTATGGATCAGTGTTCTCACCCCTCAGAACTCTTGCTCATCGAAAGGGAATTTCCAGCAAGAAGACAAGACAGTAGAACTCTTATGTCATGGAACCACATCTGGGACAGTCCTTTGGTCGGTGAGAAGAGAGGGGCCAATGCCTAAGGAGATGTAGTAATCCATCTAAAGAGAGATGGCAAATTGCCTTTTGCAACTGTGAGCCAGCCAGTATAGGCTACCAGTATTTTGAGCACTTAATTTAATTTTAGGATTACACTGAGAGAAGATCTAGAAATGTTGGAGTATGTCCACAGGAACTACAAAACCAGATCAGTGTCTGGGAGACAGGCACTATGAGTAAAAGATAGGTAGCTGAATTGACTTACCTTATACATGGAAAGCCTGAATAGGTAATCAGACAAATTCCCATCTCCATGAATAGCTACAACAGACTTCCCAGATATGGAGGTGAGACCTGAATTTATTAACAGTCTTCAGTTCTACAAAGGGTAGTTGTAGGGAAGGTTAAGTGTTGCTTTTATACAGAGATTAAGATGAGAATGAACACAATGAAGCAGAAACCAGGCATTTAGAAGAATGTGCTGAATACCAGAGTTAGGTTTATCAGTTAATAACTTTGCATGGATTAGTAGAAGCTAGATTAGAGTTAGCAGTTTAATACAGTTGAAGGGTAAGAAAGGGAAGAGATAGGAACTCAAAGCATGCCTAATTGGTCTACTTCATAATTTTGAAAACAGTAGACCATAAGTAAAATAATCTCAGAGGATGAAAAGAAGAAATGGGTTCATCTATATTAACGAGATCCAGGAAGAGCTATTAAACTTAAATCAAACCTGATATATGAAAATCAGGGTTTACAGACCAGGTATATCTGCTTTACAAAGAGAATATTCACTTTAGAAATCTTTAGCTATTATAGTGCCACAACTTTTTTCAAGTATTTAGTTGAGCAAATTATGATTTTTCTCATATAATTTTTTCAATGATAAGTTATGTAAAGCCAGACAGATCTGTAACCATGCATTAATGACCAGTTCATGAAAACAGAACTCTGGATTCCAGAAATAAGGTCAACAACCAGTTGGTATGACAGAATCAGAAACCTGCATATCTAGGGGATCTCTTTCAATTCTTTCACTTTCAATCAAAGAAGCTAGAAGGCAATTAGGTATTAGGTCAAACCATATGAAATTACCATTTTGGTAAATCTAAAACAGTCAAATATCAGCAATTCCATATGATTCAACCTAATACAATAATTGTTCCAGTAGTTCATCTGTTCCTCATTACATCTTCACTAAAGTTAAGCACTTTAGAATATTTAGGTTTTAGGTCAAAATATTGGTGGGTATGTAAAATGCTCTGTTCACATGAAAATTGAGAAAATACAGGTTTGGGATTAAAGGTGTGTCTCTGATAAACCACTTATAAGCATCTAGAGGATCTTTTTATTGTACTGGACATTGATGTCTCCTGTCTGACTTCAAGGTTTCCAGACCACAGGAAACAAGAAAAGAAATGCAAAGACCTGATCTCCCAACCCTTGGAAAATTCTGTCTGGGAAATGGGTCAAAGGAAGAATGAGGAGAAATATAAAAAAATTTGTACCGCGTTACTAGTGGAAGAAGATTACAACAAAGCTGTGAGCAGAAAAACAAAAGCATGTGGCTTCCTCATTTCTAAAATATAGTATTGCTTAATGTGTCCCGCTTTCAAGATTCTAAGCATAAGACAAGACACCAAGTACACATTGGAAAAGTCATATCTGCATAGTCATCTAAAATGAGACAAGCTTAGCATAACTAAAAAAAATTATTAACAATGTAAAATGCTAAATATTTTTATGATCTGAACTAATTCCAGCATGCCCTATTAAGATTTAACACTATGCTGATGTGCAGACACCATGCTTCAGATTTCAATTAGAACATAATGTGATAATATTCAATTTTACATTTGAGGGTAATTATATGTTACTACACCATTTTCTAACTGGATCATTTCATTCTCCAAGAAGCTGAAAAACACACCATTGGATCAAAAGGAAATTTGTTGTCATATGCATTATATGAAGGTATTAAGATTATTGTGTATTTACAAAATTTAACTATTTTTTTATATATGGTTTTGTTGCATTATAAATTAAGGTGTTTTTTTTTTTTTTTTTTAATGTTGATGCTCTTAGATTAAGACAGAATGGAAGACTAAATGTATATGAGTGCAGAGAAAAGCAATAAGTGAGGTGGTGTATGTTTTATTATAATATTATTTCTAATAATATTGATAGATAGTAATTTGAGCACATTTTTGTAATTTTAAATAGATTCTTATGTTTAAAGACTTCTTTCATATATGATAAACAACACGAGGCTAGCAAGAGCTATAGACTATTATACATGAAATCATTTTTTTCTGTATAATACATTTTAAAAACCTTTAAATAATTTAAAAATCATAAATCCTTGCATCTCTTATGGTATGGTTTAGAGTAGACATGCACACTGTCAGCTTTAAAAGTCCTTTTTAAAAACTGCCTGCTCTTTTAATTTGTTCATTTTTTTCTTAACTGTAGCTGCTTTCAAATGTAAAATCATTGAAAAAGGCAAGGGAGAGGCAGATAAAAGTAATAGGGGAGCATAGAAAACATAGTCAAAAACCTATAACTATATGGTTCAGCTGTCTGGAGGTCCTCAGAGTCTGTGATTTTTCTGGTCTTCCCAAGGGTGGGCTTCCAGGAGAAACTGCTTAGCTTGAAACGAGGCAACACAGCCCAAAGAACCTTCTCTTCCGTCTTCTAACCAGGGGATATGGAGTTAGATTCAAAAGACTGCTGTCATCTGTGAGGGACAGAACGTATATATAAGTGAAGTACACACCAAACAACTTGTTTTTCATGAATTAGATTAAAAAACTCATCATCCTTTGAATTAGGGTATTTTTTTTTTTTAACCTCAAAACTACTGACATTTTGGATTAGATGATTCTTTGTTGTTGAGGTCTATCCTGAGCACTGTAGAATTGTTATCACTATCCCTGGCCTCTAGAGGCCAGTAGCAATCCCCCAGCAGTTGTGACAAACAAAAATGTCTCCTGACATAGGGTTAAAATTGACCATGGTTGAGAAGCACTGCTTAGAATTAAATTAAAACTGTTTGGGGGAATATCTTTTCAATGAGAGAGAAAACATCATTTATTAGAAAGAGCCCATGCTTTGAAATAAAATTGGTTTATTTTCTTAATTTGCCTCTGCTATTTAGTAACCTTGAGATCTTGAATATGCTGCTCAAATTAGCTAAGCTTCAATTTCCTCATCTGTACAATAGGATATAATAATAACCGCATTGAAAGTCCACTGCCTTTGAGTTGATGCCAATTCATAGTGCCTTATAAGATGAGTACAACTGTCCTGTAGGGTTTCCAAGGCCATAAATTATCATGGAAGCAGACTGCCACATCTTTTCCCCAGAATGGCTAGTGGATTTGAACCACTGACCTTTCATTTAGAACAACAGCACTTGACCACTGTATCACCAGAGCTTCACACTTACCTTACCAAACCAAAAAAACCAAGCCTACTTTCATCAAGTCGATTCCAACTCATAGTGACCCTGTACAGAATTCCTGAGGATGTAAGTCTTTACAGAAACAGAAAGACTCATCTTTCTTCTACAGAGCAACTGATGGGTTTGAACTGCTGACATTATGGATAGCAATCTAGAACTTAAGTACTGTCGAGTCAGTTCTAACTGCAACCCTGTAGAGTGTTTCAGAGGAGTGGGTGGTGGGTTTGAATGGATGACCTGCTTATATTAAGTAGGGTTGAATAAAAAATAAAATCTATGGAAAGCATTTAGAGATTGAGTGGGTAGCTTGGTGCCGAACAAAGAAGGATTCAGTCAATATGTAATTATTGTTGTTCGGTGTCTTTGAGTCGGTTCTAATTCACAGAGATTCAATACAAAACAGAAAGAAACACTGCCAGGTCCTGAGCCATCCTCACAATTGTTTGAATTCACTGTTGCTGCCATATGTCAATCCATCTCATTGGGGAAGATCTTCCTCTTTTTCATTATTCCTCGTCTTTTCCAAGCATTATGTCCTTTTCCAGGGACCAGTCCCTCTTGATAATATGTCCAAAATATAAGACATGAGGTCTTGAAATTCTTGAATTTAAGGAGCATTCTGGCTGTGCTTCTTGCAACACAGATTTGTTTGTTCTTTTGGCAGTCATGGTACTTTCAGTATTCTTTGCCAACACAATAATTTAATAGCATCAACTTTTCTACTGTCTTCCTTATTCATTCTCCAACTTTCACATGGTTTGGGCCAGACAAATCTCAGTTATCAAAAGAACATAATTGCTATTGAACACTTTGAGATCTTTTGCCTAATGCAATACAGTGTTTGATATTTTTGACAGCTGTTTCCATGAATGTTGACTGTAGATCCAAGCAAAATAAAGTCTTTGACAACTTCAGTCTTTTCTCTACTTACCATGATGCCACTTATTGGTTCAGTGGTGAGGATTTTTGTTTCTTTGCATTGAGGTGCAATGCATATTGAAGACTATAGTATTTCAAGTCCACTTCACTTTCAACAAGCAAGGTTATGTCATCTGTATCTTGTAGGTTGTTAATGAGTCTTCCTCTAATCCTGATACAATGTTCTTCTTCATATAATCCAGTTTCTCAGATTATTTGATCAGCATACAGACTGAGGAAACCTGGTGAAAAGATACCACTCTAGAACATATCTTTCCTGATTTTAATCTTTCCTGATTTTAAACTACTTAGCATCAAACAGGAAGAAGCTTCAACTATTTCCTGTTGAGTCTTTTCTGAGCATTGTCTATATGTGAGGATGTACAGAGATTTTCAACTGTTGAATTAGCAAATTTTGGATTGAAATTTTGAGCAAGATGAAAAGTAAGGAAAGAAATAAAGCAATACAACAAGTGTAGTCTAATAAGCTGACTTTTCTAAGAAATAGCATAGTCTGACAAAAAGGATGTATAGAGATGTCCTGTTGGTGCAAGTTTTGCTGGGCTTAGTGTGGGTTTGAAACACTGGAAAACAATGACAAAGGAGACTGGAGGGCATCATCAATGGAATAAACAGGAAAATGCCAACTGGGAAAGAGTTAGGATGAGGTAATTGGACTTAAGGTTAACAAAATGGCTGGGGAGTGCCAATTGCTATGTGCTCCTGTTCTCAACCACCACTCATCTGTCAATTTGTCGTAATGTGGTGGCTTGCATGTTACTGTGATTTTGGAAGCCTTGCCACTGGTATTTTAAATATCAACAGGGTGACCCATGGAGGACAGATTTCAGCTGAGCTTCCAGACTAAGACTGACTAAGAAGACAGAGAGATGGATTACTTCCAAATATTTAGTCACTGAAAACCTTATGAATAGCATGGGAAACACCATCAACACCAGAATACTGAAGCCTAAAATATGATGAAGAGCACCAGAATATTGTCAGATATAGTGTCAGAAGATGAGGCCCCACCCCAGGTTGGAAGGCACTCAAAATACGACTAGGAAGAGCTGCCTCCTCAATGAAGAGCTGACTGTGATGACACAAATGGAGTAAAGCTTTTGAAAATATCATTTGCTGATGGGATGCAATTTAAAATGAGGAGAAACAACTGTAAACATCTATTAATAATCAAAACATGGAATGTAAGACATATGAATCTAGGAAAACAGATAGCTGTCAAGAATGAAATGGAATGCATAAACATCAATATCCTAGGCATTAAGTGAACTGAAATGGCCTGGTACTGGTCATTATGAATCTGACAATCTCATGGTTTCCTGTGCCAGGAATGACAATGGAAAGGAATGGAATCACATTCATCATCAAATATAACATTTCAAGCTCTATCTTGAAGTATATTACTATCTGTGATAGGAAATCCATATGCCTACAGGGAAGATCAAGTTAATACAACGATTACTCAAATTTACACACCAACCACTAAAGCCAGTGAAGATGAAATTAAAGCATACTACACACTTATTCAGTTTGAATTGATCAAACATGCAATCAAGATGATTTGATAGTTACAGGTGACTGGATTGCAAAGGTTGGAAACAAAGAGGAAGGATCAGTCATTGGAAAATATGGCCTTGATGATAGAAACAATGCTGGATATCACACTATAACATTTTGCAAGACCAAAGACTTTCTCAATGCAAATACCTTTTTTAAACAACATAAAATATGACTATACCCATGGACCTCATGAGATGGAATACACAGAAATCAAATCTGGTGGAAGAGATAGTGGAAAACTCCATATTATTGGTCAAAACAAGATGAGGAGCAGATGGTATAACACATCATAAATTGCTCAGATGCAAGTTCAGATTGAAGCTGAAGAAAATTTAAACAAGTCCACGAGAGTCCAAATATGATCCTGAACATATCCCACTTGAATTTAGATATCATCTCAAGAGCAGATTTGATGAATTAGACACTAAAGACTGAGACCTGAAGAGTTGTGGGATGATATCAAGAACAACATACAGGAAGAAAGCAAAAGGTCATTAAAAAAGAATAAAGAAGGAAGAGACCAAAGTAGATGTCCGAAGAGACTCTGAAAGTTGTTCTTCAGTGAGTTTCTAAAGCAAATGGGAGAAATGAGGAGAACAAAGAACTCAACAGGAAATTTCAAAGGGCAGCTCAAAAAAACAAAGTCAAATATTATAATGAAATGTGCAAATACTTGGAAAAAGAAAACAAAAAGAGAAGAACATGCTCAGTATTTCTCAACCTGAGAAAACTGAAGAAAAAAATTTAATACATGACTTGCAATATTGAAGGATTCTATGGGCAAAATATTGAATGATGCACAAATCATCAAAAGAAGATGGAAGGAATGTATAGAGTCATTGTACCAAAAAGAAATGGTTGATGTTCAACCACTTTAAGAGATAGCGTATGATCAAGAGCCAACAATATGGAAGGAAGAAGTCCAAGATGCACTGAAGGCGTTGGCAAAGAATAAGGCTCTGGAAATTGACGGAATACAAATTGAAATCTTTCAACAAACTGATCAGGCACTGGAAGCACTCACTCATCTATGCCAATAAATTTTGAAAACAGCTACCTGGCCAACTGATTGGAAGAGATCTATATTTATAGTGCCCATTACAAAGAGAGGTTTCATGGGATATTAATGATACTGTCAAGAAATCATCAGATAATAGTGATTAATATCACATGTAAGTAAAATTTTGTTAAAGATAATTGAAAAATGGGTGCAGCAGTACATTGAGAGGGAGCTGCCAGAGGTTCAGGCCAGATTCAGAAAGGGATGTGGAACAAGGAATATCATTGCTGACGTCAGACGGATGTTGGCTGAAAGCACAAAATACCAGAACGAGGTTTACCTGTGCTTTATTGACAATGCAAACTTTTCAATTGCGTGGATCATCACAAGTTATGGACAACAATACAGTGAATTAGTATTCTGGAACACTTAATTGTACTCACAAGGAACTCGTTCATAGACTAAGAAGCAGTCGTTTCAACAGAATAAGGGGGAAACTAAATTGTTTAAAATCAGGAAAGGTGTGTGCCAGGGTTGTATTCTGTTACTATACTTATTCAATTTGTACACTGATCAAATAATCCAACAAGTGGAATATGGCTTCAGGATTAGAGGAAGACTCATTAACAACCTGAGAGATGCAAATGATACAACCTTGGTTGCTGAAAATGAAGAGGACTTAAAATAATTACTGATGAAGATCAAAGATCACAGCCTTTGATATAGGTATATAAAGAAAACAAAACTCCTCACCACTGGAGCAATAAGCAACATC